TCTAACTTAGCAAAAAAGGTAGCCACCCTGACCTGTTCCAAAGCAGTAGGATCAGAGAAAGAGGGCAATGAAATTTAACCATTATCTTCCTGAGACAAAAAGACAATGCAGGGTTAAAGTAGGGTGACAATATATCCTCTTTTTTCTGGACTTGTCCTCTTTTTGGGGACCTGATTATGCGTGATATGTCTAGAATTTCATGTTGTTTCATGCTGACATTTCCTTTCTACAGTCAGAATACTTTTTGCATGCATGTATATTTGCATTGCTTTCACTTGTCTATTTGCATCCTGCCCCCATTGTCCTCTTTTTCACAAAGCATAATATGGTCACTCTGGTTAAAGTCCACCATCCTGGTACTCCACAAAGATAATCACTGAAACACCCAGGGCTGTTGATGGCTGAGTGACACCTAAATAAAGGGCCTCCTCAATGGGTCTATAGTTTCTGATTTGGGGAGAGATAGTAGATAAACCTGATTATTATGAGAAGGGTCTCCTCATGGAAAAAAAACCATGACCTAATTGCAGATGGTCAATTTCATGACTGACATGCCCTGTCCTCAGGGGACATCCATCTAAGTCCTTAACAAAGATGTTAATAAAGGAGACACTTCAAGTCAGCTGCACAGGAGTCAATTAACACTGCAATAGACAGAAGCCGGTTACTACACAATATCACAACTGGCTCTGAAAGCTTTTTATGTCATATACGCTCTCACCATGGTTCTTAAGTACTCTCTGTCTCTCAGGGGACTGTAAGCTTGGGTGTCCAGGACCCCTACAGTGCAGACACTGGTGTACCTGCAAGTGTCTTTGGAGTTCCTCCTGTTATAATTGCATGGATTCTGGTTCTAGAGGTGCCAACCTGGGCTGGATGGTAAAAGGTGAGTTTGTAGAGAGAAGCTATTGTCTCCTGTCCAGTAACAATAATAAACATGCATGGAGCACTGCAAGAGGAAACCCTTACATTTATTAGGATTACTGTAATATCTTTCTGGCTTATCAGTGAAGACAACTAAAGGCAATGGATGGGGAGTGGCAGTGACTACAGCACCAGGATGTTCTGAGGTGGAGATGTTCACAGGATATGTCTGACCCGAGGGAGCAATTCGACTAGACAAACAAGTGAAATCATAGGAAAGGCAAAATTGTTTGAAAAAGTTTCTGACAACCAGGACAGTTTAATGCCTTAGCCTGCCATGCTGCTGTTTGGGGGTCATAACTCTGCTGTCTTACTCATTGTGTAATGGATCCCACTGCCCTTCAGGCCTGGCACCTCCTACCCTGTTTAATGCCATGATTTCCTGTTCCTGGGTTCTTTTCCTACATAAAGAATGTATACGTGTTAGTCTTACAGACCACTTATCACAACCTGATCGTCTGATCCTCCTGTGTGCCAGGCCCCCTTGTTAACCTCGTGTGAAAACCCTATGTTTTCAGCTGTTTTCAATCCTGTGTAATGGAATATCTGTATTTAAGTCCGCATTCAAGTATGTTTCCCCAGTCCTGTCATTGAAGTCTAGTGTTTTAGTCTGATGTCCTATGGCGAAGTCGTTTTTGTTTTGCCCTAAATCTCGCTCCCAAACACATCTTAGAGAGGCCATGAGTTTATTCTCAATTTTCTCTAACAGCTTGTAACATTTAGAAGTTTTCTTTCTTCCCCCAGATTCTAATATATTTTTTTAAATAATTGATCCTATATAGAATGGTGATGTAGAATGACCAGTACCAAATCACAAACAGTTAACAACATACAGTTAGTTATTTTGGGTAATAAAAGTGTCAGGCACAATCTCTGACTTCCTGGAGTTTTTCATTTTTGTTTTACTATAAAAGTAATATGACAGCACACCTATTCTCACATATGTTTTCCTCGGTAGATCAAAAGGAAAGTGTGTATTTGTTTGTTTGGCTATTTATTATGTTACTGTTCAGCTGAATTTTCATTCCTGAGTAATTAATTTATCCTGCATACAGTTTTTACTGTCCTGCAACCTTGTACTGGATATGAAACTGAAGAAGACGGATGGGTTGATGGATGAATATACTATTTACTGGAGTAGGAGTCAATAACATTAAGAATTTTAACATTTTTATTAAAATGCCATTTTTACCACGGACATGGTATTTGAAAACGTAGCCTGCATAGTTTTTTGGTACCACTTTACAATATGCTACCCTTATACATTATTTATGAGTTATTATAGTTAGGTTTTAACACTTCATACATCATTAATAGCCAATTATAAACATCTTATAACAGTTTTATTTTTATTAATGAGTTACTACCGTTTATAACTGGCCAAACCCGGGAAATTATACCATTTAATTATTTTTTTTCTCATTTTTGCCACAGACACTTTAGTCCGTGTACGCACAGGTAGACTATCCCTGCACTAAAGCAGTACAAGTTATCTGGTGTACCCTTAATTAGCTACCTCTATCGGTAAACAGGGAACTGACAGCTTCTAGCCCTCACCCCTTTAACAGTTCTGTGTCTTTAACATCTTACCGAGTGGTAATGTGATAATAAACTCTCTCTTTCTTACTCTCTCTCCACACATACACACACAAACAGTGTCACCAACTTTGGTCAGCTGGCTGGCGTGAGACGTTCAATTCGAGACCAGTCAGCACACTAATAATACATGTATATAATAGTTTTATTAACCTGTAAATGGGTCTGCAGGGTTTGCAAACTACCACAACGAAATTGATGCAGCTGATTTTTATAATTTTATAATGAAATAATATAAATTTGACATAAGATTTCTTGTGAGACCATCAGATCTGACTCAGTCAGAAAGCGTGAGTTTGCAACCCTGTATATATAATTAATAAACTTGATTCATTCGTGGAGCGGTGAAAAAAAAAAGAAAAGAAAGGTGCAGTAGAAACATTTTTCATCTACCCATGCAATTCTCCAATCTATTTTAGCTCTTCAAATAAAAATATGTAATTCCTCTACCTCGGTTCAACAGTCTTCTTCCATATATCAAAGCCTCACCCTTACGTAAATATAAAAGTTGAGTGGAGGCGGTACTTAGTGACTACTGGTCCAATAAGAGAGCCGAACACAATTACGATGGAAAATTGGCCAATGGGAGGAACAGTTCTCTTAAGCGTGGTTTCCTGTATTAGTGGCAGGCTATAATAAAACCGCTGTTTGTCTACTACAAAAGGAAAATGTTGGGAGGCTCGTAAGTACTGGAAGTTTCCTTTCTCCTCTATTTAATAATAAACGTAATAGCGAACGCATAAATAATTTGTCTACATTTTATCATACTTTGTCATGCAAGCAAAGTAAATACTTTGTAGTAAATATGATACTTCATACATATATATTACACTTGTGACAAGAATAATAACAGGCTTTACTAAAGGTAAATTTTTTTAAAAATCACCGCGACCCTGACAATAGTAATTAGATGGATTGATAAAAATCAAAAGTTTTTTTGAATGCTTAACATATATGTACTATTACAACAAATTCTATCTTCTATTTCAGTATAATATCGCGCTGTTTACTGACGTAGGCGTTCTTGGGGGCGGGTTGTAGACTGCGGTATGTGGGTAGGCTACTAGGTGACAGCTAAGCAGAACGTCAAACAAAATAGGCGGAGAAGTCATACGAGCCTAAAACTCGCCGTAAGCCAGAGACAGCGACACACTTAACGACAATCTTAAGAAGTAACAGTTAATTATAATTATCAGTCAAGAGGTATTGCCTGGGAGTCATACATCGCGAAAGGGATTCTGACATGCACTGGCCGAAACGTGAGTCATGTAGCATATTATTATTATTATTATTATTATTATTATTATTATTATTATTAGTAGTAGTAGTAGTAGTAGTAGTAGTAGTAGCAGTAGTAGTTATATAATACTAATGACCGTATTGTTGTTGTTGTTGTAATGGCTTATTAAGTTCTGCATTGTTGAGGTTATTAAAATACTCGTTTTAATAATTTAAGTACACTTGAGACATCGATGTCGTAAAAAATGTGTTTCCTTTGAAGCTTCTTGGTATATATCTATTATATCTATAAGATATAAATTAACGTGACATCGTGTTTATGTTGAACGTATCATTTGTATTGACGTTTAGATGTAAGAAACCTGATTCACTAAGAGTCCGTATTTGATAAGGTGGTATTGATATAAGTCTGAAAAGAGTTATGCACGATACAAAGCTGTATTTTGGGGAAACCCTTTCAACCACCGCCCAGTCCTACCTCTGTCACTGCAGCTGTTGACTGAATTCCCCTATTCTTGGGTGGGTGTGAAACAGGAGACAAGGGTTTTCACTTTAATCCCCTTGGGGAATTAGTGTACAGGTCTACGGGGCTCACAGGAATGGGACTCGTGGTAACTGATTTAAACAGACTTTGCACCTTTAAATATGTGCACGTGCTCCTCCAGGTTCCCGTTTCTGTAATAATCGAGTCAACGTAAGAAAAAGGTCGCTGGAATCCCCGTCTACCCACGCTTTCTGACTCATAAGGGATTTCCGACAGTATTTGAATACTGTTACAACAAGTGGTCACGCACCCATGAAAGGGTATCCCAACAGCACATCGCCCACTCGCCTTATCTATACACAACAGAAGATCAGTGGCTTAACTTCAAGGAAGCTATATGTCAAGGTCTTCTAGTCACGTCATAACGTGTTTTTAGTAAACGTGTAGCCAAAACGATTGATGAAAAGAATCCAGTGAGGTGTTTGGATATGTGTGTAGCGTGTGTGTGTGAGTGAGCGGTTGTACCTTACCTTATGTTGACACAATGTCCCCACAACGTGATGAATACCCGTTTTTTTCCCCTTATGGCTCCCCATAAGGGAAAACTCAATTTAATAGAAATCTATGACTGCAATGAAAGGTTGTAATAGTCAGTGTTAGCATTTTTCCCATAGAAATTAATGAGTGGTCCCCATAAAGATATGTTTACCCAACATGTGTGTGTGTGTGTGTGTGTGTGTGTGTGTGTGTGTGTGTGTGACTAATGTAACATTTTTTCCAAATGTGAAGGTAATGTGAAGTTTGAAAGGAGAAGTTTAAAACATTGCTTTATGGTGGCTTATCAGAAACCCTGGAATTAAACAGACTACAAACAGCTGGTGTATTGGAGTTTACTAGATGCTATAGTAGCACTTTGCAGATGAAATTGAAAGTAAAAAGACTTAAAGAAACAGAAAGACTGGGGTATTACAGGGTGATTCAGCCAGGAAATTACTGAAACTACTAACATGCTGAAGTAAAGTGTATAGATAGTGTAATGTCTAATGGTGACCTTGATGAGAACAATCTCTTAAAAGAAGGATAGATGGATGTAAAACCTGAGATTGAATGTCAGTTTCTATTTTATAACACTGTAGTGAAATTATAGACTAAAGAAAGCTTTTAAAGTACATAAGATATGGAAATAAAACTTTTTTTTTTTCCTGGTGTTTATTACTCCTTTGGGACAATGATTCCTAGGATCAGTGAATAATATCCACTAAACACCCATATACAGGACTAATTATTTTTTTGCTGTCTAATTGGCAGTACTGTAATAGTACAAATATTCATCAAACACAGTGATGGCCCTGTGGCTATTTTCAAGTTAATATTGTAACTAGTATTAAGGTAATTTTAGAAGATATACCTTAAGCTAGCAGTTCGGCCTTCCTTACCATATGTTGCCCTTACCAGATACCTGTTATAATGGCTCACACAATTTCTAAATAAGCTGCAACACATTGAACATGACAGAGAAAGTTCACTATTCTCTTTTTAGGAAATTCCTGTAATCCTAAAAATCTTGCTTCCCCAAGTCCGCTTCTGATGTCTTTATAAGAGGATTCCGGTTACCTTTTACAGTAAAAAGAATGTGAATGTACTGCTGGTGGCTTTAATATTCAACGTAAGACTCTTCAACATCTCCACGAGCTCAGCGGTGTTGTTTTGTCAGTGTATCGCATAATACGGCAGTTAGGGCATGAGTAGTTACTAAAGCATAGGCAATATTGTTGTGTTCCGGGGTGAAGGCAGGAAGATGTGTGGTTTGCTGCAGTAAGCGTAACGGAGCCCGCAAGAAGGAGCGTCACAGAAAAAGAGTGAGAACATCCTCCATAGAGAGCTTCTTGTGAAGCGCAGGTGTCTCTCGCCACTGTTCCTACTGGAATACGTTCCTCACCGTCACTCCGCAGGCGGTTTCGTCTTTGCCGGAAATGTATCTTATCTCTCTTTGTTGGGGTCTAAATTTCAGAGAAACTTTGTTGGCGTCTGGAAACCTCCGATACTGGCGTTTTGTAACAAATTTGTATTTTCTTTTATCATTGGATGGAAATGAAACGTACAGACGAGACAATGCAAACAGTTATTGAAATGGAGGATGGGAAATTGCAGTCACGGAGGAAAAGGTAGTTTTTTTCGTTAACTGAAGAAGAATTTTTCGAAGTAGCGAAATGAAGTGTCTGAATGTAACCCAGAAAAATGTGTTTATGTTATGGAGAATATGTGTTACCAAACAGTGTACCAGTATGGTAGCATGTATGCAGTCATTGTCTAGCTATTAAACCAGTTACATATAAACACCTTTGTCATCAAAATATAATTAGTGGTTAGGACTATAAAATAATATTTCCAAATGTGAATATATTAAAGACACAGGCTTTCTAAACTAGACTGCTGGCTATAGCCATAGTAAGTTCTTCAGCGACATTGAAAAAGGGGCTTGAGGGTAAAATAGTTAAGTACCATACTGTAATACTGAAAGCGAGTTTTTTTTCTGCGTTTACCTATTTTAAAAAATGAAGAGGTCTACAAGACTATCTGCAGGGATCTAATTCATAGGTCCAGCATTCAATATTACAGAATAGCAGAAGCGCACTCCGCAGCCTTCATCTAGTGTATGGACATAAAAACTCTTAGTGAATGTTCTTTTATTGACATGTGTACAAAGCACAACAAAATTTCTTTCTGTTAATTAAAGTTATTACTGACGTCAAGCTAAACCTAAAAGTTCACGTCGTATACATATTAATAGCCTATTGTTATATACTTGCTTACTCAATGTAAATTAGGACTTCCAATGATCGCTAATGAAGAGCACCCACCTGGGTGCTTGTCTGTTTATCTTTCTATGTAGCTATATAATTTTTTTGTTGTTTAGTAAATGGTCGATTTATTTTTATTACATAGTAATTTAGAGAAGTCCCGGTCATTGTCCATACAGTAGACTGTACTTGAAGAGAAGTATGACATGCTGGCAGCAGAGGTTTAACCCCTGAATCAAGGGTATCTTTGTAATTTCCCCTTGATCGTTATTCTGGTCTGCTTGATCTTTGAGTAGCCTATAGCATTTATTGTAAAAGGGTTCTTTGTGAAAACCTACAGGACTCACTGCATTCTCAAACTAACCATCAGATTTTCAGTACCAAAATGCTGTTAGGGTATTTGACAATAACTCTGAGTAACTGCACTTCTCAAAATATTATTTTTATGGCAAATTTTATGTTTAATTGGAAATTATTAGTAGTATGTGATACAAGCAATATAATACAGTAGTATTTTAATTCTATGTTTTTAAATTCCTGGAAAGAATACTCAGTGACTACTATGATGTCACCCAGATGGAGAGGGGATCTGTTTGTACATATGATTTTTTATCTTTATGTGTATGATCTTTTATTTTAATAAAAAATACATTATATTGAAAGCAACCTGGTCAGGGTCATGGATTATTTAAAAAAACAATTCATTTTAATAAGTAACATCTTTGAAAGGCTACCTAGGAGAGAGTTAAACAACAATATTCTCTTTCTATTAATATTGTTCTAAATATGTAAATATTCTATTTACATTAATATTAGTAAGAATTTGAAATCTTTGCTGTAAGTATGGAAGTTTTTGGACTTATTTGTCCCAAACAGTTTTTACATTTTACATGTTAATATATTCAAAGTTTTAATGAATGCCCAGTGACCCTGTACTGAATAAGTGGTTGGAAGATGGATGGATGGATGGATGAGCTTTTTAGCAATAAGAAATGACAAACAACAACTCATATTAACATGAACATGTCTAAAATGAAACAGGCTAATGGATTGATTTGTACCTAGATGACATTCTAGACTGACTTTTAATTACTTCTGCAGCGCCAAAGGAAAATTCGTGTTCACTGCCCACTGTTAAGAAACTCCTGGAGCAGAAGAGGAAGCGAGAAACAGCTACTTCCCCATCTTCCTCAACCTCCTCATTCTCATTAGTGACCACTTCAATTGCCACTGCTTCTGTCCCTGTGAGTAGATATACCATATAGGCTATAGAGATGTAGACTATTTCTCTTCATTGCATGTATGTGTGTGAATTTGACTGAAACAATCAGTACCTTGTATGTTCTGCTGTTTGTTTGTAGGTGTCACTGCCAGAACAGGAAACCCAAACAGGTAATCACAAAATGCAATGCCAGGATAGCATTTTCACATATCATACAGTGAATATACACACTCTTTCGTCCAACTCTTTGCAAATGCACAATAATGAATCACAATTATACAGAAGTGTCTGCATTTTTAGGTGGTAACTGCAGCTATCAGGGCATCATGGGAGCTGTGGGGCCCATGTTGCCACCACCCAATAGCGCATGGAACCATCCCATCTCCCCTCAGTGCTCAAACTTGCAACAGGACTGCCTCATTCCTTCTGTGGGAGGCTACTTTAACACTGTGGCAACCTCGCTGGATTGTGGCCAGAGTCAGGCCTACAGCCCTGGGCTGACCCCAAGCTTCACAACACAGCAACCAGATTACAGTTGTGCCATGAGCATCCATCGCTATGTAAGTGCCTGCCATTGCATGTTACATGAATATATTTTTTTTTGAATTCTTACAATCATAAGAATATGTGTGTGTGCGTGCACACGTGTATATACACTCACCTAAAGGATTATTAGGAACATCTGTTCAATTTCTCATTAATGCAATTATCTAATCAACCAATCACATGGCAGTTGCTTCAATGCATTTAGGGGTGTGGTCCTGGTCAAGACAATCTCCTGAACTCCAAACTGAATGTCAGAATGGGAAAGAAAGGTGATTTAAGCAATTTTGAGCGTGGCATGGTTGTTGGTGCCAGACGGGCCGGTCTGAGTATTTCACAATCTGCTCAGTTACTGGGATTTTCATGCACAACCATTTCTAGGGTTTACAAAGAATGGTGTGCAAAGGGAAAAACATCTAGTATGCGGCAGTCCTGTGGGCAAAAATGCCTTGTTGATGCTAGAGGTCAGAGGAGAATGGCCCGACTGATTCAAGTTCATAGAAGAGCAACTTTGACTGAAATAACCACTCGTTACAACCGAGGTATGCAGCAAAGCATTTGTGAAGCCACAACACGCACAACCTTGAGGCGGATGGGCTACAACAGCAGAAGACCCCACCGGGTACCACTCATCTCCACTACAAATAGGAAAAAGAGGCTACAATTTGCACGAGCTCACCAAAATTGGACAGTTGAAGACTGGAAAAATGTTGCCTGGTCTGATGAGTCTCGATTTCTGTTGAGACATTCAAATGGTAGAGTCAGAATTTGGCGTAAACAGAATGAGAACATGGATCCATCATGCCTTGTTACCACTGTGCAGGCTGGTGGTGGTGGTGTAATGGTGTGGGGGATGTTTTCTTGGCCCACTTTAGGCCCCTTAGTGCCAATTGGGCATCGTTTAAATGCACGGCCTACCTGAGCATTGTTTCTGACCATGTCCATCCCTTTATGACCACCATGTACCCATCCTCTGATGGCTACTTCCAGCAGGATAATGCACCATGTCACAAAGCTGGAATCATTTCAAATTGGTTTCTTGAACATGACAATGAGTTCACTGTACTACAATGGCCCCCACAGTCACCAGATCTCAACCCAATAGAGCATCTTTGGGATGTGGTGGAACGGGAGCTTCGTGCCCTGGATGTGCATCCCACAAATCTCCATCAAGTGCAAGATGCTATCCTATCAATATGGGCCAACATTCCTAAAGAATGCTTTCAGCACCTTGTTGAATCAATGCCACGTAGAATTAAGGCAGTTCTGAAGGCGAACGGGGGTCAAACACCGTATTAGTATGGTGTTCCTAATAATCCTTTAGGTGAGTGTGTGTGTGTATATATAATGTATGTACATAGTGCCTGACAAAAGTCTTGTCACTTAACCAAGTTGTAGGAACAACAAATAATAACTTGACCTGTAGTTAATTAGTTGTAATCAGAAATGGCTTATAAGAAAAGGCAAAGCCCTCTAGATTATGCTTATTATACCAAAATAAAGTTTTGCATCATTCATTGAGTTTTGTCATGGAATTAGGACAGAAAGGTCAACTTTTGCCGGGACAAAAGTCTTGTCATATACAAAAATAATGTAGAAATTATACATATACTTCATTTAGAATACACAAACATGCTACATTAACATCAGAACATAAAGTCATGGTGCCTTGGAAGAAAGAATTAATAACATATATGACTTCCATGAGCTTGGAGGACCGCATCCATACGTCTTGGCAACGACTGAAATAACTTGTTGATGAAGTCATCTGGAATGGCAAAGAAAGCAGTCTTGCAGGACTCCCAGAGTTGGTCTAGATTCTTTGGTTTCGTCTTCCAAGTCTCCTCCTTCATCCTACCCCAGACATGCTCAATAATGTTCATGTCTGGTGACTGGGCTGTCCAATCCTGGAACACCTTGATCCTCTTCAGTTTCAGGAACTTCAATGTGGAGGCTGAAGTATGAGAAAGAGCGCCATCCTTCTGCAGAATTTGCCCTCTCTTATGGTTTGGAATGTAATAGCTTCAGGCTGTTGATGTTGCCATCTACTCTGCAGATCTCTTGAACACCCCCATGCTGGATGTAACCCCAAACCATGATTTTTCCTCCACTAACTTGACTGTTTTCTGTGTGAATTTTGAGTTCATGCGGGTTCCAACAGGTCTCCTGCAGTATTTGCGGCATTTGGTATGTAGTTCAATGGATGATTCGTCAGAAAAATCAACCTTCTGCCACTTTGCCACTGTCCATCCTTGCTGCAAGCTGTGGGCCTTGGCAAATTCAACATGCTTTTTATGTTGCGTTCTCGTTAATGCTGGTTTCTGAGCACTAATTTGGCCATGGAGACCACTGTGTGTGAGAATTCGAGAAACTGTTCTTGTAGACACAGCGGTTTCTGGTGACCGGTTCTGATGTAGCTATGCTGCAATTGAAAAAGGGTTGGCCCTGGACTTTCGAAGCAACAAACGGTCCTCTCAAAGAGTTGTCTTACAGGGTCTGCCTGACCTGGGCTTGTCATGAACATCACCAGTTTTTTCAAATATTTTTTGAATCCTCTCCACTTGACGTTTGGACACATTAACGATGTCTGCCACCTCAGCAGCAGACTTGGTCTGTGGTTGAATCTTTGGCATGTTGTCAGAAGTTAGGTTGCACTTCAAGTGAAGGTCTGGTGTTCTTGGGGTTCTTTTTATACACACCTGGGATTATGTTAATTACAATATTTGTCACAGGTGAACCTCTAATCTGTGATTGGTTGAATCATTAAAAGACATGACAAGACTTTTGTCCTTGCAAAAACAGGTTTTATGGACTTTAACAAGCTGTGAACATCAGGACACTTTTTGACTGTTTCATTTTGCACCCAGTTATTAATGTGAAAGCCCTTGGCATTAAATTGATCCATTCATTGTAACAATTGATTGATTAGAAATAAAGTTATATGTCTTTTTAAATTACTATGTCCTTATGTGACAATACCTTTGTCAATGACTATATATATATATATATATATATATATATATGTATGTATATGTATGTATATATATATGTATTCCTATGTTGTTTTTTGGTTCTCTCCTTAGTTAGAATGCCCCATGACAGTGACCCTCTCTGGTTCAGTTCACTCGGGGGTGCAGCAGTCTCTGAGTTACTCTTGGACACCTGTAAGTAGCCTCCATAGTCATGGGGCTCCAAGCCCTCAGGGATTCGGGGAAGAGATGGATGCTGGGAAACTGGATGAGGCACGAATGTCCCTTCAGGCAATGGACTACAGTAAGAAGATGTGGCAGGATGAAGATGGAGACACGTAAGTGGCAGAGATAGTTAAGCAGGATTAATTCACATTCCAAAATAGAGCATGGTCTGAGGTAGACTTAAAGTAAAGTTCTAGATACTTCTCTAAGCCAATTTAAAGTTAATTTCAGGTCAAGGATGCATATACTCAAATTTGAGTCCAAAAGGTAAATTTCTCTGTGTATGAAGCATAAGAGACTTTCCCGTTTTAGAGATATAACTGTTGATGAATCTTTGTGTCACGCAGTTTTACTCCTCAACAAAGGTATATGAGGAATAAAGGTGTCAATAGAAGGAAAAATGAATTACCCCAATTTAACTCATGGGGACCTTTGCCATGTTGGGATGGTACAGCTTCAGATAACCAGTTATTTGGCTCCTTTCAGGATCCTGCATATCTACACGGCAAAGGGGCTGAGGGAGTATGCTTTTGCAGCTGCGGAAAACTTGCGGGACCTCGGCAAGCTAGATTCCAAAGAACATAAAGGAAAGGTATGTCCCATATGTGAGCATCCATACAGAAGTACAAGTAATAAGACTGAAAATTTACAGAAATTATGTTACTGCAAAGTAGCAAAAGTATGTAAGTAAATTAATAACAAATGTCGTTCACGCAAATTACCATGAATTAAACAAATCCAGTAAAAATGCATTGTTTTTAATAATGCTTGACTAACAATGCATTACATTTAATAATGTTTCAATGTTTAGAGGCTGTTATTTCATGTTAATGTACATCTAAACATCAAATATTTCAATTGAAAATGTTTGAGCTGTAATTTCGTTGGTAAAATAATCAATGCAAAAATATTTGGTTTCAACAATTCAGCTACAAAATATACAGTTTATTTTACCAACTAAAAAAGTTCATTTTTATAATTCAATCACCTGAAATCAATTCATTCCCTTTCGCCTCGAAATAAATTTCAAGACACCAAATTCAGTTGGAAACATTCGAAGTGTTTTAATTCCATCTTCATAATTCAAGAGATAACATTCAGTCCTTTTATTTTTGCTTTACAATTACGCCACCAAAAATTCAGTGATTTAAAAAACGGGGTGAAATTCAACTTTCTACATCTGGGACTAGCAGGATGAGCAGTTGAGTGCTGATAGAGTTCTTGGTCAGATCCAGACTCAACAGTGAGCGTATGATAAGCACAAGGTCAGTTGCACTATTTGAGAGAACGGTAAATTTTCTTTGTGTTATCGCGGACATGAGTGTCCCAAAGTCAGCTACTGTCCTCTCCCTTCAATCCAGCTAGTTATAAAACTTACCAGCACAAATTAATGGAATGATGTTGTATGCGGAAAACGAAAGATCGATCTGCTAGACAGATTATTTATATATTTAAATGTCACCAGTTGTATCAATGTACCTTGCGAGGCCAGTACTTTGAAAACTCTTTAACATACAGCTGCCATCCGTCACATATTTTATGAAACGGACTGCAGCTGTTTACTTATCTCCTATTGTAAAATATGTTGCGTCCCATTTTGAACCAATACTGGATGTGAGTTATCTGTATTTTTGGATCGGTAAAGTTTATGATTGGGGACCCCAGAGGAAGACGTGTCCCTTATTTCTTGAGATAATGTTGAATGCGCCACTGAAATTTCTTGCCCCTCACTATGGAGAATGGCTAGTTGTCCAATGCAGTCATTTCCATTATTTTAATAGTTTTGTCTTTTGCTCTGTACCAGGGGACCAGCCCATTAGTGCTAAACACCTCTTATTATGCAGGTTCTAGATTCTCAGTTATGGAACACAGCTCCAATGATACTTAAAGCTAACTTATTCAATCTCCAGCACAAAAACATTTAGCAGGTAAGCTTACAAACAACAAAGAATAGTACAACCAAAAATCCTACAATGCTGTCGCATGATAATAGGAAATGACCATATCAGAAATAACTAATAAACCGTAATTTCAATTTTGTTGTTCAAGTGACAATGACAATAAAGATTATATCTTTATCTTTATCTTTAATTAATGGGCCTATGATAAAACACCCTATAGGAAATACTGTACCATTATGTCCCTTGATTTGGGCTGATCGTCAGCAGGTCCCTTGCAACGACATTGTGCAGTCTTGAACCAAACCATGGTGTTTTGTGCCTGTATGTTTTCCTTCCACTAAAACCAAAATAATGTTTATAGTTTCTAAGTAGGGAATTTTTCAGATTTGATTTTCAAAATGTAATCTCTGGACTTTGAAGATTAGTTTATTTTTTTTTCCTGCTAAGTGCATGACTAGAATTTTTTACACCATTTCCTCATAGACTGTATATGTAAAGTAAATTCATGATTGCATTTGCATTTAATCTTTTTTTTCTTTTTTTCTTTTTCTTCCCCCAGACTGCTCTGCTGGTAGCGGCGACAGCAAATCAGCCACTAATTGTCCAGGACCTTCTTTTGCTGGGGGCGGACGTCAATGCCTGTGATGATAAGGGTCAGACTGCACTCCACCTAGCAGCTACCTATGGATTCCCCAGAGTAATGCAGGTGAGGCAAGTGACAAGTATACAAACATCGAAGACTTTTAATTTAGTTGATGAAGAATATTTCTTTTTTCTATTTTTCTCACCCATATTACTCCAGAGTCTCATGCTTTCAACTTATACATATTTAGCATTATTAGGAATAAAATAATAGGAATTTTATTAGCCATTCATTTTTTTCCATATTGTACCTCTTGTATTGTTTTGTGCATACCATATCTATACTAGCAGTCCTTCCTTCATTTTTATACATTTATCATTAAAGTGCAGGCTTCATTCCTAATGATATAGCAGTATATAAGAGTGCTGACCGCAAAGAAGAATCTATTAAAAATAACAAAACAGGTCATACATTGCTTGATATTGTTTAATTAATTGAACATCACAGCAGATACATCAAAACACATCTATGCTGTGACATTCAGTTAATTAATATCAAGCAAAATGCAACCTGTTTTTATTATTCTTCATACATTTATCAGTAACACATCCACTGTGTATTTAACAACTGGATTGTATATGACCCTTGTCTTGTCTTAAGTGTGTACTGTATGTATCTGCTGTATGCACAAGAGCTATTGACAACTGAAGACAATTTCCTGTGTGTGCAAACACTGGCCAAATAAAACTGATTTTTGATAAATCTGAAATATTGTAACAGAGATTATGTAGGTAATAAATGTATTTTTATGCACTTTAACTATTTGGTTCAGTGCCATGTTTAGCACTGTTGCCTCACACCTCTGGGGTTTGAGCCTTCTCCATGGCTCTATGTTTGAGGAATTGGCATGTTTTTCCTGTGTCATTGTGGGGTTTATTCTGGGTGCTCCAGTTTTCCCCCACAGCCCAAAAACATGTTGAAATTAAGTGGAGTGGCCAAATTGCATACAGGTATGAATTGAATTGAATTTTGAATTAGGTGAGCAGTGTCAACACACCACAGCACACAGTGCACAACAACGAAATGTGTCCTCTGCATTTAACCCATATGTGACTTTCGTGACATAGCAAGGGGCAGCTAATTCAGCGCCCAGGGAGCAGTGCTTGGGGGCGGTACCTTGCTCAGGGTACCTCAGTGGTGCCTTGCTGGTCGGGGATTTGAACCTGCAATCTTTCAATTACAAGTGCGCTTCCTTAACCATCAAGCCACCACTGCCAATGGTGTTAGTGTACCCTGTGATGGGTTGTCGCCCCATCCTGGGTTATTACCTGCCTTGCACCCGTAATCTCTGGGATAGGCTCCAGACCCCCTGCGACCCTGTACAGGACAAACAGTTTCAGAAAATAGATGGATGGATGGATGGATGGATGGATGGATAGATGGATGGATGGCTATTTGGTTGAACTAAGGGATAACTAATAACTGGCAGTTTACAAATGCAGCAAACATCTCAAAATGTGTCTTGACAAAGATTGACTAGTCTTAATTTACAGGCCAGTAACTCAACATTTAAAAGTGGCATGTAGAAAAATATTATTAATACTGATTGTATTTCTCAGACAATTCTTTCCACGGGACTGAATGTGAACCTGGAGGCTCGCAATTTTGAAGGTAAATGCTTATTTGTATATTTATTTACAAAATATGAAATACTGTTTGTATTTGTACAGCATTTAATAAATAACACTTGTTAAATGCTTCAGTGGTAAACATACCTGCTATCTCTCTCATTCTCCTACACATATTTTATGTCATAATGAAAGCTGATGTTTCTTCGAAAACTGATGGGTCACAGATGTAATGATCCATTAAGGCTGAATTTGCCAACAGGTTACATTGGCCATTTTAAGGTTTTGTTTGTCATTTGACTGCCTAATAACACACATAATAAAAGACCAGGATTCAAAGGCAGGACAATCACCAAGAATCACATCACCAAGGAATATTTAGTAGCGAGGAAATTTCACGAATGGATTAATGAATTGCACAGGTGGCATCCTATCACGGTGCCACGCTTGAATTCACTGAGCTCCTGAGAGCGACCCATTCTTTTGCAAAGGCTTGTAGAAGCAGTCTGCATGCCTAGGTGCTCTATTTTACACACCTGTGGCTATGGAAGTGATTGGAACACCTGAATTAAATTTTTTGGAGGGTTGTCCCAATACTTTTCGCAATGTAGTGTATGATGATCATTGCATTTATTTCAATTTATCTGTCAGGCAATCAAAGAGTATTTCTGGTTTCATAATAAAGTATGTAAGTATAAATTTCTGCCATGTAACATAAAATAATATGCATGCATTATGTGATTATGAATTTGAATATCCAAATGAGTTCAAAGCTGGTGCAGTGTGTAATGTCTCTGTCATATGCTAAATATCACAAATGTTTTTGGTTTGACCCCATTTATATGCAGTTCTTCCAATGTTATGATTTTATTTGTCATATTGTACAGCATGACAGATCCATGACACTATGCTTGATAGAGTCTGTTCATCAATTCTCTGTTTTTCTGTCTTTCTTTACCCCAGGGCTGACTCCCCTGCACTGTGCAGCCATCTCCCACAGTGCCACCATGAAGTCCTTTTTTGCCCCAATGACTGACCTGTCTGACTCCAGCTTGCACAGCCTGGCTGAAGACAAACTCTCTTGCATCCAGCTTCTGCTCAGTTCTGGAGCCTCCCTGCTCAGCCAGGTGAGGCCATGCATCCTGGGGGACACCCAGACAGTCCCCAGTTTGGAACTGAAATGAAGCAAAAATGTGGACTATCTGGGGGGAGCCTTTTTTAACCTAAACTAGCACCAGTGAACTGCATGCTGCCATTGTGAAAATGAAAGCAGTGCTGACTAAGCCAAACCCAGATATTTCATGTATCATGGAACAATTATTGTCCCTGTTGGACACTAGAGTAGTCTGTGAGGCCTAGTCACCTTTAGGGACAGCATTTGGTACAAACTACATGATTTATATTCGATTAATGAACCCTTGACCAAGGCCCTTTATGACATTTGTTCCAGGAGTGCTGCACCCTGGCGAACCCTGCAGTCTGACCCCATATCTCTCACCTGTTTATGTGTCTTTGTATTTAATGGATAACTAGATGGGATAGTTTCCCCATAAGGATGAATGAATTATCTTTAGTCTATTCCAGTGGTTTTCAACCTGTGGGCCGCGACGGTATTGCAGGGGGGCCGCCAATTATTATTAATAGAAATTGTAATATTGTTAATATAATAAAAAATGTCTAGTCAAAATCAAATAAATCATAATTTGATATATAATTAAAATTTATTCAATACATTACCAGTTTATTCAATAAAGACCATTAACAGCCTTGCTTCCAAGTACTTAGTTAACCCGACACAAAAAGCGGGATCGTTTAAATTCTTTTGCAGTGGGCCGCGGAAACATATGAGTTTGGCTGTGTGGGCCGTGAGTTAAAAAAGGTTGGGAACCACTGGTCTATTCTATTCTATTCTATTCTATTCTAAAAATGACATGATGTGAGTGACATGCCTCTGTATATGGTATATGATGTGCAGCTCATGCAGTTTGTGCATCCAGTGCCTTTCTTGTCTTTAGTCATAATAGTGTCTGTCATTTACCAGGACATCAAGAGCAACAAGACAGTTCTACACCTGGCTGTGAAGGAAGGCAATGTAATGCTGGTGCGAATCCTGCTGCAGATTAACCTGGCAGACACACAGGCTTTCGTTAATATGAAGGTTAGTGGCTATCACGTAGTGTTGTAGTTCTCGAGACCGGTCTTGGTCTCGAGACCAATTTTTTGTGGTCTCGGTCTTGTCTTGGTCTCGACTCTATTTGGTCTCGGTCTTGTCTTGGTCTCGACTCTATTTGGTCTCGGTCTTGTCTTGGTCTCGGACATAGCGGTCTCGATGGGATGGGGAAAAAAAGAGAAAACTGCACATCCTCACAGAACAGTATCATTATTTATTACGCGCCTCAATTCAAATGCAACCAGTCAGATGCATCCATTTCAAAAACGTTACATTTTATACATTTTCTCCACGGACACTGCCAGTGCTTCACAGTCCACAAACATCATACACATCGTATCATACATCGGCAAAAAAATGTCCGAAAATGTCCGTGAAGTCTATAGCATAGTTATTATTCAAATAAATTAGGTATTTTACATTGATTAGAAAGCACGGTCTTGGAGGTGCAAGTCAATCTGGAGGCTCATTCTCTTCAATTCAAAGCAAAGGATCATTACATAGCTGTATTCATAGCTTACCCGAGGCCTCTGTCCCTGGTATAAGAGACTTAATATGAACATCTTTCTGGTACATCCCATCTCTTTCCCTTGACGAGGTCTGATAAAATGGTTATAGGAGAGGATTGCTGAGAATATTATTTTCCATCAGGTCTCGTAACTATGACAAATCTGGGAGATTTTAAATGAGAGACATATGGACATACGGACAATATAATTGAAAAGATAACATGAATTTGATTTAACGAGTAATGACACTTTACAGCAATGCCTTTTTTCTCTATAGTTGATCTGGGTAATGTGATGTCGATTCTAGCCCTAGTCTGTTTTCGGTCTTGGTCTTGGTCTCGACCAGTCTTGGTCTTGGTCTCGCCTTAGTGTGTCTTGGTCTTGGTCTTGGACTTGGTCTTGGTACCCTCAAGTCTCGGCAGTGTCTTGGTCTTGATACCCTCCGGTCTCGGCAATGTCTTGGTCTCGGTTTAGGCGGTCTTGACTACAACACTACTATCACGGTACTGGAACAAAGACCACTGAATGCAAGCTAGACTGAAGATTCAAGACCAGGGACCAGCATTCACCAATCTGCAGGGATGTTTTATGTGAAAGTCTGTACGGCACGGAAATTTAGGTGAGGTTCATTTAACATGCCACATATTCCCCATCTCAGAAGTGGAAATTATAAGGTCCAGAAAGTAAAAATTTAGACCAAGGTTTTGAATTGAGTACTCTATTCAAATCTTGGTTTGAATTTTTACTTTCAGGTCCTGAAATCTCTACTTCTGCCATGTCCTAATTTAAGATGTTCTTTCCTCTTGGCCCCAACACATTCTCTCGACTATAACTTTTCCCTAATTGGTCCAGCATGCTCAATAAAGGTTCCAACAGTAGCCTCACTGACAGTCTTCAGTTTAGAGTTACTAAGAAAAGACAGACAAACCTCCAGAGTTTGATACAGGAGGAAAAAAACCCTCAGGAAAGTCAAAGGTCAACTGGCCTTTGACTAGTGCTGTGTTTTATCAAGCTGTCTGCTGGTCAGCATTCTCTCTTCCCCCCATACATACAGCCCCCACTTGTTTTCGTTCCTCTTTCCCAGTGTTATTCTCATTTCCACTTCACACTCCCCTTCCCCTGAAAGAGTACCTATTCCGTCCTCATACCTCCACATCACATGACTTTGTTAGCTGTCTCACCCAGAGCAGTTCTTCACATTACACTCTAAGGGTGATGCTTTCTCATTTCTCTCTCTGCCCCCTACTGTAGGCGCATGGTAACACTGCTCTGCACATGGCAGCCGGCTTGCACAGTAGCTGCCACCAGGAGGAGATGATCCGCTTACTGCTGAATCACGGAGCTGATCCCAGCATCCGCAACCTGGAGAACGACCAGCCCGCGCACCTGCTGCAGAGTGGGGAAAAGGGAGAACAGGTGAGCCACCCCACCCATTTCAGCGCAAAGATTGTGATCTTTGCTATCCTTGTTATCTGCAAGAAAGGAAATTATCATTTAAGCTTTATGGTCTTTGACTAATTGGACTGTCTAGTCATTTTGTTGGATATGACTGATTATCTGAATTTTTTCTTGTTTTCTGATTAGCTGAAGTTCCTCCTCAAAAAGCGAAATGCTGCCTCTCGACGGCGTATTACATCCTTACAGGACCAAGAGTGACATGGACTGCTTTCCAGTCCCATCGTTTTTCCCTCTTCCCTACTAAAGAAGGGGGATCTAATCGTATCTTCTTATGAGGACCATTTTCATACACCTCTAATTTATTCTAGAGTGTATTTCCACAGTGTATGATCAGACAGTTATATTCTTTTTTCTTTTTTGAAGAAAAGTTACTTAAAATTTTCTGTCTGAAATATAGTGTATCTAGTGAAATTTCAAACTGACCTTTCAGTTATTTGGCTGCACTTTGTTTTTTCTAAAGGTTAAATCTACTGTCAGTCCTGTGTTTTTTTTCCAAAGAACAAGTAATGTTAATGGGCTGATTATCATGTGAGTGATTCATTAGTACTAGATTTTTTCTTAGAATTTCTTCATGTTCACATCAATTGATAATGTTTGCTTTATTTATTGGCTAAAACATACTTTAGTTTTATAGGAATATGTCAAAATATATATTGAGGTGAAAGGGACATGGACAATATGTCCAAAATAAATCATTTGAAGTCATATGTTAGGACTTTTACAGAGAGAAACTCTGGGTTTTGTATTCTATGTCTGATTTCTGAGAAATCGCTGAATAATGGCAAGTATCATTATTACTATCTGAAACCATATTGGTTCATTGAAATAATGTATCATAAGCATGCATCACACTGTATCAGTGTGCTAGTGCTTCACAAATCAAACCTCAATTGTTAAATACAATTATTTTTATTTAAATCAAGGGAACCTGTGCCTTAGTTCTTTAACTTTTCCAATTTTTCCTGTGGGATCCATGTTATTTATAACATCCTTGTGGTGTGACTGCATTTGCATGATTTTAGGAGGCACGAGAATCTTTGGTTCGGCAATTCCAATCCTACCTTGTCTGCCGCTAGGAAATGTAATATACTGTGCCCTCCACAATTATTGGCACCCCCTCTAAAGATTTGTAAAAAGGGTTAGTAAAAATCCACCTTTTGGTGAAGTAGTTTCATATCACACTGAAAAAATTAGAAAAATCCAACCTTTTCTTAAAATAAATTTATTGAAAGAAAAACAAATCCTTCATCAAGAAATAATTATTATCAACAAAAACACATATGTGCTACGATTAATGGAACCCCTGCTTTTAATTTTATAAGGTTAGAGAATACCAAGCAGAGCACCTGAGTCCATTCCTCTTTACAGAATCTCTCCAGATCATCCAGGGTCCTAAGCCATCTCTTGTGCACTATCCTCTTCAGCTCAGCCCACAGGTTTTCTGTGGGGTTCAGGTCAGGGGACCATGGCAGAAGCTTGATTCTGCGGTCAGCTAACCATTTCGACATGTGCTTAGGATCACTGTCTAGCTGGAAGATCCAATGACGGCCCAATTTTTCTTTCCTGGCAGAGGCAGCCAAATTTTGATTTAAAATGTCCTGGTATTTCATGGAGTCCATAATGCCATGTACCCTAGCGAGGTCTCCAGGGCCTTTGGAGGAAAAACAGCCCCACAGCATCACAAAACCTCCACCATATTTTGCATTTGGGATAAGGTTCATTTCATTATAGTTATCTTTGTTTTTACGCCAAACCGAACTTATGTTTATTGCCAAAAAGCTCCATTTTTGTTTCATCAGACCATTGAATTTGGTTGCAGTCAAAGTTGTAGTAGTGTTTCGCAAACTCCAGGTGCTTAAGTTTGTGGTTAACTGACAAAAAAAGCTTTTTCTGGCATACCTTCCAAATACTCTGTTAGCAAGAAGGGGGAGTCTGATAGTTTTTTTAGAGACGTGGTAACCCCAAGATTTTACTTGGTCTTGTAATTCACCAACAGTCATCCTTGGGGGAAAAATAAACTTGGTTCCTCTTCCAGGCAGGTTTGTAACAGTTCAAGTTGTCCAATATCTCTTATCTTTCCCATGTTGATGGATGACTAAGGGAATTTGGGCTCAGTGTCACCTCATGTTCATATCCCTGTTAAGCAGGAAGTCATGGATTACAGCTTGATGGTTCCTATTCACTCCACTCAGCTCAAAGATGTACAATTTACAGGAGAAACATGCTTCAGTTACATTGTGTTCACTATAATTTCCATGGGGGCCAATAATCGTGGCAAATGTGTTTTTGTTAAAGATATTTTTTTTTTTTTCTTGGAATGAATTTGTGTTAGTGAAAGGTTGGATATTTCTAAATTTTTCAGTGTGACACGAAACTGCTTCATCAAGGTGGATTTTTCTTAACCCTTTTTACAAATCTTTACAAGGGGTGGCAATAATTGTGGAGGGTGCTGTATAAAGGTGAAATTCGTTTTGATGGAGAAAAAGGAAAAATCTTTGATCTCCCTTGAGATTAGGCAGGTATGATTCTTGTACATAACAATCAAGTTTTACCTGTTTCTATCTTATGATTTCTGAATTTAAGATTACTTGTTAATTTGCATAATCTTTTTGTGCAGTGTTAATATTGTCATGCAAGGGCTAAGCATAGGTATCAGCTTAATTATACAGAAGATAAACCATTCATTTGTGATGAAGTACATAAAGTGAGCTTTATAACATTTAGGGTGTTCTTATACCTATGTTGAAAGGATGCTAAGATCTGTGCAACCTAAGGTAAATTAGATGTCTATATCCATCCATCCATCTATTCATCAAACTGTAGTTTCAGTGGTACACTACTGATTGTCTATGATTGTGTTTGAGTCCTTTTACACATTAATTATGTATCGAATAACGTGCATGTTATGCATGCATAATTTCTTTGTTCTGGACAGAAATTAATCAGTTTTGACACTGAACAAAAAGTGAGTCTAGACAGCAGTACAGACAAACTAAATGTCAGTTTTTTGACATATATTTATTATGCATAAAGTAAAGAAATAGAAATAAGAAGAGCATTCTAGGAATTTAATAGTTAAACATGAAACAATACATTTTTAGTGCAGCTTGGGGAAAAAATATGTTTTACAAAAATTGCAATTTTCCTTGAAATTATACACTGCCCGGTCAAAAAAAAAAAAGTTGCCTTTTGAATTTTGCCTTTAGCTTTGATTATGGTGGACATTTGTCATGGCATTTTTTCCACTGGCTTATGCAACATCTCACCCTTTATTTTCATCCAGATTTGCATATATTTCTCATCAAGATCCTGTATTGACAAGTGAGTTGAACCACTCCATAAAACCTCCTTTATCACATCCCAAAGACTTTCAATGAGGTTAAGGTCACAACTCTGTGGTAACCAAGTCATACGTAAAAATGATTCCTTATGCTCCCTAACCAGTCTTTGACAATTCAAACCGAATGTATCTTGGTATTCTTGTCCTGGAATATGCCCATGCCAACGGAAGAAAAAAATGGATGGAGGTGTAACCTGGCCATTCAGTAGATTCAGGTACTCAGCTGACTTTATTGCTGCATAACGTTGCTGGACTATAATAATGATCCTCTCATTGGCTCTTAAGTATTTGCTGATATAAATTCAAATGGCGACCTTTTTTTTTGGCTAGGCAGTGTATAAGAAGGATGCTGTGTTATAAGAACGTTTGGTCTTCCAATGCAAATTTCTTATCTGTGGTTGCAAAATTAAATGTTGAAATGCTTAATTTACAGTAAGTTTATATTATAATGCTGAATGTATTCCTAGCATAATCAATCTTCACCAGCAGCATTAAAATTTCTTCAGTAATACGATTGCTTTGTGTTTCCTCAGTTCCTTTATTTTCTCATGCTTTTGATATATTCTCTTTTTTTGGCTAGTCTCATGGCCCATTTGTTCTGAAGTACCAGTTCTGAAGGTACATCCAAGATATACGAATATGCTTGGAATCATGTCACTTCTGTTCCAAAACTAGCTTAAGTTGTACACAATTTTAGCTCATGCACAGTAGTAATTATTTAGGTTACGATATGTACAGTATGTGAGCCCTTACATTCATAAACATGCCATCTTGATGAAAAGTTGTCTGTTGAAAATGCATTTATATCATTTAAGCTTTGCGTGTCCAATATTAGATGCAATACTTAATAAATGTATGGTTATAAAACATAAAACATCCCACAACTTTGTATTATATAACAACAGCAGTGACTCAGTTAACCAACACTCACTTTCATGTGTAGATAAATGGTGATTTCATTACATATTTACTAATTTGCCAAAAGAGGTATAGCAGCATGAAGGGAAGGGAAAATGTGACTCCTTTTCCAGCAATAAAAATCATGACATTACTTAGTTTTCCTCTGGGGCCACCAAAACCTCCCAGAAATGAGTAATGCGATAGCTCAAAACACAGTTCATAAGTATTAGGACAGACATGGAGCTTGTAGTGTACTTAATCCAAAGAGGCTTTATAATAATGAATATTTGCTAGTAGGGCTGGGCATTTAATCAAATTTTAGTTTCAGTTACGTTTTGGCTTTCAATGATTATCAAAAAAAATAATTGTGATAAAACAACTATTGTACCACATTTCATTTCACAATGATTTTGTCTTGTGTTATAAATTTAGTGCACCCCTTTCCAGCTCCTTTTGATTTGTTTCTCGTACATATTTAGTGTTTTGTCAGGGTCATCTGACCCTGTCCTACAAGTTCTGTTTTGACCAGGAGGTCCCTGGTCATCCCGTTCCTTCTTCCATCTTTTAGTCCCTTAGCCTAATGGGTTGAGTGTGTCGCTCAGAAACCATTAACCTTCTGGTCATGGGTTTAAGGCTGGTCAGGGGCCAGTCTCACCTGTTTATTTTTATTTACTGTTTTTGTTACCTTGTTTTGTTTCCAGTTACAGGTTTGCCCTGCTTTTTGTCCTGTTCACTTCCAGGCCTGTTTGTATTTTAGTTCCATGTTACTTATCCTAGTGTAGTATTCCCAGTGTGGTTAGTGTTTCCTAGTTTCAGCGTTTGTTCAGCGTTTGTTAGAAATCCCTAGTTCTGTGCTCATTATTGTAACTCACCCCACCTGTTGCTTGTTGCTCTCTCGGTTGATTGTTTAATTGTCATGTTCCACACCTGCCCTCTCGTTAGACAGTTACCTGTTTCCATTTAAATGCCTGCATCTGCTCTGTTCCTGTTTAGTTTTGACCCCCTGTGGTCCTTCTGTTTTGTAGTCATTTTTTAATTTCAATAAATGAATGATATTTCCAAAGTCAATGTGTAATTGTGTTAAGTAAATGTGACTAAGATTTTTGCCATAATCTAGCAGCCCTAGCCACTACATTATTGCTTAAAGTAAGACTCTCAGATTATGAAATGACTAATGATCAGCACAAGGGAATGCATGGTTTAGCTGGGGCAGTGTCTGCCTCTGCAGGTTAGGGATCTGTGTCCTTGTTGAAAAGCTCAGTGGTTAAAATCACATGGTTGGGATATTAAGCATGTTGGGCCCTTTTGCAGCCATGTTTGTCTATATTTCACATAGAGCATGATATGATATGTAAGAATCAAAGAATTCCTATGTAGTTGTACAAATTACAAAACATAGCATGATATTTGACTGCAGAATTGATGCTCGTCTGTATGTTGTGGATCTCCAGCCCGATGAAATCAACAAAATGCTGATATCTGATCTTCCACACTCCAGTCATCTGCTCCCTTTGCACACCTGTGTCATTATACTGTCTGAGGAGGGACTGCAAGAAACGAAGTGGTTAGTGGTTCTAAAGCAACTGGTGGTGGCTCTATAATGACTCGCTCAATCACCACAAGATCTCACCTTCTGTCTTTGGTGGCAGGGAGCCTTCGACAGGGCTTGTGCTGTAACACAAAAAATTGCTTATTTTGATTGTGCATGGCTACTTCAAGAGCAATGTCTTGAATGGGAAGCAATGTGATTTGAGGTAGCCTAGTAGTGTTAATAAAGACAGTAACTCGAGTCACATTCACAGGGGATCTACTTCAGGCAAGCCATTAATAATTAAAACAACCCTACGTGTATCTCCAATACATATTTAAATAAATATGTGTGTATTACTGTTAAGTCATCCAAATTTAATACGATTTAGTTATTGAGAGAGTTTTTCCTCATACTGTATATCAACACAGCAGTTCAACTGCATTATATTTGTCAGTGTCTGTTTTTGCGTGATTTGTATGAGTGCAAAATGTTCCACAATTATGAGAACTTCTCAACACACATATGATTCATCTCAAAACACATATATGATTTTAGAAGGTGGTAGCAATGAGTCTGAGAAGGATGTCTTTGCACTCAGAGATATTGGCTTAATATACTGTATGCTCTGACTTGAAGATTAGTAGATTTCATTTATAGTATACCATTTTGCCAGAATTATGTGGGCACCAGCTAGTGAGATATGAAGGCCATACACTCTTTATTGTTACCATAGCCTCTAATCTTCTATGAAGGCTTTCCGTTAGATGTTG